TGCACAAAGGAACTGCAACAGCTAATCTATTAGCCTGCTCATTAACTCGCACACCTAAATATCATCGATAGACAATCCATGCTATGCTCTTGATCTGTGTCTTATGCAAGCCACTGCGCCCAGAACACCAGTTTAAACTTTCCGAAGCATGCTGAGTCAGTCGGTTACAATCACAACATATCTGGCTGTGCTGTTTTCAAGCCATCGGAAAGCTGCCATTACTGCCTATACCTCTATTCTCATATTGGATGTAATGACATTGTACACAAGGTTCTCGCTTTACAAGCAGTGTCCATTCACCTTTGCAATAAAACCTCACGCACTGTTCTTACCTCTCACCACAGACCCATCTATATACATTATGATGTCACAGGGGCGGGATTTTTCACTAATCAGCTCTTGCACTGCTGACTTTGTTTCATCAGTTATCCGTTCCTGGCACTCTCAGTCCAAGGTTACGATCACTCTGTGCAAGTCTGCGCTGTGTGGCACTGTAATCCATTCTTCACCTTGCACTATCTTGCCAGTAGTACAAACAGTTCTGATCATGACTTCTACCTGTGCCATTGCTATCCCCTAAGGCCTCATGCAGAAGGTGTTTCCTGCCATGTTTATTGATTACTCCTCGTATTAAAAATGGGAACTCATATTGTTGTAGTCCATAAATGGGGGTGGCCATGGTGTAGTGGTCAGACGCTTGCCTGTGGATCAACAATGGGGAGTGGCCATGGTGTAGCGGTCAGACGCTTGCCTGTGGATCAACAATGGGGAGTGGCCATGGTGTAGCGATCAGACGCTTGCCTGTGGGTCAACAATGGGGAGTGGCCATGGTGTAGTGATCAGACGCTTGCCTGTGGGTCAACAATGGGGAGTGGCCATGGTGTAGTGATCAGACGCTTGCCTGTGGATCAACAATGGGGAGTGGCCATGGTGTAGCGATCAGACGCTTGCCTGTGGGTCAACAATGGGGAGTGGCCATGGTGTAGTGATCAGACGCTTGCCTGTGGGTCAACAATGGGGAGTGGCCATGGTGTAGTGATCAGACGCTTGCCTGTGGATCAACAATGGGGAGTGGTCATGGTGTAGCGATCAGACGCTTGCCTGTGGATCAACAATGGGGAGTGGCCATGGTGTAGTGGTCAGACGCTAGCCTGTGGATCAACAATGGGGAGCAACCGTGGTGTAGCGAACAAGCCTTGCCTGTGGATCAACAATGGGGAGTAGCTGTGGAGTAGCGATCAGACGCTAGCCTGTGGATCAACAATGGGGAGTGGCTGTGGTGTAATAATCAGACGCTAGCCTGTGGATCAACTATGGAGAGTGGCCATGGTGTAGCAATCAGACACTTGCCTGTGGATCAACAATGGGGAGCAGCCGTGGTGTAGTGATCAGACGCTAGCCTGTGGATCAACAAGGGGGAGCAACCATGGTGTAGCGAACAAGCCTTGCCTGTGGATCAACAATGGGGAGTGGCTGTTGTGTAGTGGTCAGACGCTTGCCTGTGGATCAACAATGGGGAGTGGCAATGGTGTAGTGGTCAGACACCAGCCTGTGGATCAACAATGGGGAGCAACCGTGGTGTAGTGGTCAGAGGCTTGCCTGTGGATCAACAAAGACCAAGGCTCCCAGTCTTCAGTGGGTCCCAGGTAAAGTCCTGGGTTGTATAGACATCACCCACCAAGTGCAGATTGATCTATAAAGTATAGATCTAGCCCTATATGCCCAATATGCCTGAAGGGGTGGAAAAGGTCCTTTACTTTAAAAGATTTATAAACGGAACTGTTAGGATTTGTTGGTGACCTATGTAAAAGCCAGAGGAACTAGAACAAGCAGCATTTGTAGAAACAAATTTGAGACATGTCAAAACAATGACTACTTGACATTAAGTAGAAATGGAAAACAGATTGTAATGAATGTTTTTATCACACATTTTTATTATTTATGCATCAACTATTGCTAATTTAGAAACATTGCAAAACTAGGTAAATGGAGTCACACCAAACTGAAACTATTACGGAACTCTGTTACAGGTAATCACTAAATCAATCAAGGGCTGAGATACAAAAGACACTGACAGTAGAAGTAAAAACAAGAGAAGCAAACTACTAACAACACATCAGTTACAGAAACTCCACAGAAATCCACAGGAGCTTAGTCTCTCAGCAAAAACACAATGTTATGCCTGTTGCATGTTTCTTTCATATGAAACAAAATATTTTTTTTTTGGTTCTTACCAGGAAGATAAGATAATCTCTTCAGTTGTTGAACTTGACAAAGACCAAAAAGTACGTGGAACCATTATCCAAACATAAACAGTGTAGACAAAAACAAAAATGGGGGGATGGGGTGGGGAAAGGGGGGGGATGTCTGGTATATTCAGTTATGGTGCTTAGAATATTTTCCGGCTGATGAGGAGAGTGACTTCCCTTGCCATTTACGCCTCATTTTGTTGCAGGGCCTGTCCTATGTTGCAGGGGTGTCAGACTTACTGACCCATCAGCAACACGTAGTGTTTTACTGGTTTTTGTCAGCAGCTGGTGATATTGCATGTGCTATATTCCACGATGTGAGTGCTTTTAATATTACCAAAACATGTAGAACTGGCCGTAACCTCAACCCCACAGCCTATGTCCCATGAGAATGTTAAATGTTGAATTAAGAATCGACATCACAGCACTCAGGACATTCCCATAAGTGCTCAGTCCCCACCTTCAGCAGCAAGCGAAGAGTTTTAATTTGTAATAGTCTGATTGAATATCCGTCCCATCCTTCCTCTGAGTATTGAGCGTCGGCCAGATCCCTTGGTAACTCATCGCAGCTCCATTCTCCTCAGACTGTAATGATCAATCTGTGCCTCCGCACTGTTCACCCGTTCCTAAAGGGCCCTCACTGTATCTAACATACACATCAATTCAGCGGCGTCCATGGTTTAGGTGTTGCGAGACCAACTCGTTATTCTAACGTAACGAGATAGAAATGCACTGCTGGCTGCGTGGATTTTTATCATAGTATTGGGTGTTACAGGTCGACACAGTCTAAAATGAGTACTATGATGTACGTCCTGGGGAAGTAAAGACGGCCGGCGTAATCCTAACCACATTACCCACCTAGTGCCGAATGGTCTGTAAAAATATGGGTGCTCTTCACACATGGCTGATGCGCCTAAAGGCGCGAAAAGGGATCTTTACTTTACTTACATACATCAATTCATAACCAAGTGGTGCAGAGCCAGCCAATCTATCTGCCTGTTCATTTCTCAACACACCGGCATACTTGGAGAAAATATCCAAAGGATGCTAACTATCCGAACTTCTGAAGTGATGCTTGCCACTCTGCACGAAGAATGCCTGTTTTCACCGTTCTCAACATGCTCTGTGAGTCAGTTACAATGACGGCATGTGTGTACAGCTGATTCTCAAGCCAGTGGAAGGCAGCAGTGACTGCCTCCACCTCCATTCTGAAACTAGATGTTGTGATATCATATGCAAGGCTTTGCTGCACTAGGCGACGTCCATTCCCCTTTGCTATGAAATTCTATGCACTTTGCCCCTCAGTACAGAACCATTTGTATAGATAATCACATCACTTGGGCAGGAATCATGAATCATTTGATGAACTTCTGAAGTGATGCTTGCCACTCTGCACGAAGAATGCCTGTTTTCACCGTTCTCAACATGCTCTGTGAGTCAGTTACAATGACGGCATGTGTGTACAGCTGATTCTCAAGCCAGTGGAAGGCAGCAGTGACTGCCTCCACCTCCATTCTGAAACTAGATGTTGTGATATCAGATGCAAGGCTTTGCTGCACTAGGCGACGTCCATTCCCCTTTGCTATGAAATTCCATGCACTTTGCCCCTCAGTACAGAACCATTTGTATAGATAATCACATCACTTGGGCAGGAATCATGAATCATTTGATGAACTTCTGAATCTGCAGCACCAACTGGCCAGTCTCTTCACTCATGACCTAACGTGATTAGAACCCTACACAAGTCTGAAACTTGTTCGGAAACCTTGACCCACTCATCTCCTCGCTCAAAATTATCAAGCCTGCACACATGTCTGATTGTGTCTTCAGCTTGGGCCATCCAAGACCTTCATCTTTTCAGTCTGTGACCTTTAGATTTACCCAGGGCTTCATGCAGGAGGTGCCTCTTGTCTGCAGCTGATCTGAGATATGTCTTTGCTTGCAGAACTTTGAGCTTATCTGCAATAGTAGGCAGTGCAAGTATATCACATACTTACTACCGGAATATCTCCTGTACATCACATAATATCCACATGGCTTCATTCTGTATGCGTTCAAGTTTCCTCAGCTGACTCTTTGATATGGTATACATTCCAAGTCTATAATCCATCACCGACAGGATCACATGCTAGAACATTGTGAACAACATTCTTTGTTCCATGTCCATTGCTGCCATAATCTTGAGAGCACTGAGTTCTTTTTGGCATTTCCCTCCATGTCCCTATAGGACAGGCCCTGTGACCTGGTGAGGCGTGAATGGCAAGAGAAGTCACTCTTTTTCTGGGCCGGAAAACCTTACTACAACCTCAGTAAAAATCCTAAAGGCAAGAAGAAACTTCACAGCACTAACTAGGACATCTGCGGAAGTCAACAGGAAATCAAACTGAATACCAAACTTGAATATTTAACTCTACTGCCAAATCTGTATAGATAGGAAAAACATTTAACAAAAGCTGGCTCAAGTCTTGAAAACTGAAATAATGGCCATATAAAATTCACATTGTAAAAAAAAAAAAAAGAAGAACAGTAAGGGAAGCATGCTTTCTAGAAGAAGAGATAAAGATCTAACACCACAAATTGAGGGTTTAAACAATTCATGGGCATAGAAGTGCATCTTTCTGTGAAGGACCTGTCCCCTGATTATAACAGATGTCACTGGTACTTAGCTGCAATGCTAATATACATAACAAATACAGGGACAGAAGTCAGATGAAACAAACTTGCCCATGAAATGCCACATTCAGCTTATGCTTAATGGGGTCTTCCAACAATGGAGTCCGAGTTATTTCTCTGCCTGCGACTGGTTCTGTTTGGCCTCATTAACTCTTGTATGTGTTGAACTATCAAGTCAATAGCAACTGAAATTGAAAGAAAATGCAGCATCAGTAAGAGTTTTACCCTGAGGTTGACTTACACTGAAGTTGACTAACACTGAGGTTGACTTACACTGAGGTTGACTTACACTGAGGTTGACTTGCACTGAGGTTGACTAACACTGAGGTTGACTTACACTGAGGTTGACTTACACTGAGGTTGACTTGCACTGAGGTTGACTAACACTGAGGTTGACTTGCACTGAGGTTGACTTGCACTGAGGTTGACTTACACTGAGGTTGACTTGCACTGAGGTTGACTAACACTGAGGTTGACTTACACTGAGGTTGACTTACACTGAGGTTGACTTACACTGAGGTTGACTTGCACTGAGGTTGACTTGCACTGAGGTTGACTAACACTGAGGTTGACTTACACTGAGGTTGACTTACACTGAGGTTGACTTGCACTGAGGTTGACTAACACTGAGGTTGACTAACACTGAGGTTGACTTACACTGAGGTTGACTTACACTGAGGTTGACTTGCACTGAGGTTGACTAACACTGAGGTTGACTTACACTGAGGTTGACTTACACTGAGGTTGACTTGCACTGAGTTGAAGGAGATGTTGCCAACAGTAGTCAATGTAAGCACATGATCAGACAAATTTGAACACAGTTTTAAAATAGACTGACCCATGGACGGATCATTACATCAGAGATGATGTGTGATAGGTCTGTGCACACCTGGACAACAAATGTGTTTGTATAGGTCTGTGCACACCTGGACAACAAATGTGTTTGTATAGGTCTGTGCACACCTGGACAACAAATGTGTTTGTATAGGTTTGTGCACACCTGGACAACAACTGTGTCTGCATAGGTCTGTGCACACCTGGACAACAAATGTGTTTGTATATGTCTGTGCACACCTGGACAACAAATGTGTTTGTATAGGTTTGTGCACACCTGGACAACAACTGTGTCTATATAGGTCTGTGCACACCTGGACAACAAATGTGTTTGTATAGTACTGGAGACAAATGCTAGCAGGTGCTTTGTGAGGGAAAGCAGGGGTCCGTGGCTTAGGCGTTTCGAGTCCGACTCGTAATTCCAAAGTACTGTGATCGAAACCTACTGCTGGCTGCGTAGATTTCTATCGTGGTATGGGGCGTCGCAGGTCGACCCAGCCTAAAATGGGTAGCAGGATGTATGTCCTGGGAAAGTAAAGACAGCCGGCATAATGCTGACCACATTACCCACCTAGAGCCGATTGGTCTTTAAAAATATGGGTGCTCTACCCATTTGCCCGATGCGCCTAAAGGCGTGAAAAGGGATCTTTACTTTTACTTCACTTACTTGTGAGGGAAAGCTAACAGATTACATTCGAAATAGGAACAGATGTTTGACAGGGATGTCTTGTCAGTTTTTACATTTATTACCAATAGACTGGATCATGAAAGCATCAATCAACTAGGTCTAGAAATCCATAAGTGAAAGACAAAGATAATGAGAATAAATCAGGCAAACAGTCATCTAGTTTCTTTTAACAATACTCCACTTTAAGATGGGAAGGGGGGGGGGGGGGGCGGTCATACATCTACTGTGGCAGTAAACCAATCACTAATGTTGAGCTTTCGGAAAGAACTAAAATTCCAGTGAATCATGAGACGAAGAGAAGACATTGGTTGTTGCATAGAAAACACACAGAGAAAACCTTTGCAACACAACCCACAGGGGCAGAGAAATGAAGGTGGACATAAAACACACAGAGAAAACCTTTGCAACACAACCCACAGGGGCAGAGAAATGAAGGTGGATATAAAACACACAGAGAAAACCTTTGCAACACAACCCACAGGGGCAGAGAAATGAAGGTGGATATAAAACACACAGAGAAAACCTTTGCAACACAACCCACAGGGGCAGAGAAATGAAGGTGGACATAAAACACACAGAGAAAACCTTTGCAACACAACCCACAGGGGCAGAGAAATGAAGGTGGACATAAAACACACAGAGAAAACCTTTGCAACACAACCCACAGGGGCAGAGAAATGAAGGTGGATATAAAACACACAGAGAAAACCTTTGCAACACAACCCACAGGGGCAGAGAAATGAAGGTGGACATAAAACACAGAGAGAAAACCTTTGCAACACAACCCACAGGGGCAGAGAAATGAAGGTGGACATAAAACACACAGAGAAAACCTTTGCAACACAACCTACATGGGCAGAGAAATGAAGGTGGATATAAAACACACACACATGGAGACAGCAGCTAGAGAGTGAAGTTAAAAGGATGGGAAGGACAACGGGTGAGCAGCATGCAACAGCAAAGGATATGGTCACTTGACGTGAGCTGGTTGAGGGCCTATACTCCACTGTGGAACAAAAGGCAGAAGAAGAACCATGATATAGAAAAGAAGATGTATTGCTCACCAACATTATCTGCACCTCTGGGTATTATAACATCGGCATACTTCTTCGTCTGTAGAGAAAAAGGATTCACATGTTTAGTGGATTTTCAATATTACCTGTCTGGTACTGAATGCATAGTAACTTTATAATCAACTATTCCAAGCCTGGTTATCCACACAAAAAGCTGCACATTTGAATATTAAGAAACTTGTTTCATGTTCATAAAACAAATGGATTCTCAAGGGACAAGTGGAACAAAGAGAATGCCACATAAATAAGTTTTTAACTGCAGCTGGGAAAGAGAAATTATCCCTCAGGTGTGGAAGGAAGCTATACTAACACCAATCCAGAAGAAAGGAAAGGATCCAGCAGAACCAAATGTCTACTGACCAAACAGTGTATTTAGTCGTGTAGGGAAACTCATGGAACACATTATAAATAACAGGTCCCAAAACATTTATGTCTTCAGATGAATGCAAAAGAAGTAACTCTTTGCACTTACTTTCTACTTCATCATATTTTCTATTCAATTATTCTTTATCTTGCTTTTTCTTTCCTTTCCTTTCACCCTCATCAGTGAAATTGCAGTTTTGATCCATTTTTTAAAATGTTGCTGCAGCACATACATATCTTACACACAATATAATTATACAGGACACCTCATTACTGCTTTTAAATTAATTCCTATCATTTTAAAGCAGATTTTACAAGCATAAACACAGCAGAGGTTTTCTTGTGCTGTCCACCTGTTTGTAAATGGTTTTCTTGTATCTCAAAATACAGATTCTGTATGGCATCAGGGGGGAGAGGCAACTTGTTGGCGATGTCATGGAGATTTGAGCCTTGCCACAACGGCTACCAGGTGAACAAGTCTAGTTTTAGAATAGATTCCTACTTTAGGAAAGTATGTCATGAAGAAATAAAAGTGTTTACTGGCAGGCAAAATTCTTCAAATGCTGGTTTCACAAGCGTCATATACTGATTAAGTATCTGATCCAGTTCTCTTCCCCTCTCCTCTGTGTCACGCAGGACTGAAAGCAGAACAAGCAGAAATGAGGTCAGTTTCCTTATCTAACAACTATGGAGTTTTCAAAGACACAATTATATATATATAAATATATATATAAATATATAAATATATATATTTCTTCATTCTGCTCTCTATTTTATATCTCCCTATGCTATTACATTTGTTTTCGGTACAAAATAATCTGCTGTATATGGGGGGGGGGGGGGGGGGGGGGGGGGATTTTAAAAATCTTAATTTTATGTATGCAAATATATCTGATATGGATGTTTCGTGCAATCTTTCTCTATTGTACTCTGGATGTGATCTTTGCTACTTGGTGTAGATGGATCTATTTAACTTGATTTTTAATTGTGCACCAACCAGGTGGTGGTCACTATGACACTCAGCTCGCTCTGTAGCTTCTAACTTGTTGTTTGTTCGATGCATTTCTATTATTTATTAAAATGTGATCTATCTGATTAAAAGTAATCTTGTCACACGATTGCCAGGTTTGTTTATGTATATCTTTTCTTTGAAATCTGGTGCTGCTTATCTGTAGTTCTTTCACTACGGCGAGGTTGATCAATCTACATCAATTACCGTTTGAATTTGTATGTAGGATTTCCATGCCTGTACATTTTTATAAGTGTTTTCTCTTCATATTTTTGCACTGAAATCTCCTAAGACAATCAATGTGAAATCTCCTAAGACAATCAATGTGAAATCTCCTAAGACAATCAATGTGAAATCTCCTAAGACAATCAATGTGAAATCTCCTAAGACAATCAATGTGAAATCTCTTAAGACAATAAGTATGAAATCGCCTAAGACAATCAGTACGAAATCTCCTAAGACAATCAGTACGAAATCTCCTAAGACAATCAGTGTAAAATCTCCTAAGACAATCAGTACGAAATCTCCTAAGACAATCAATGTGAAATCTCCTAAGACAATCAGTATGAAATCTCCTAAGACAATCAATGTGAAATCTCCTAAGACAATCAATGTGAAATCTCCTAAGACAATCAGTACGAAATCTTTTAAGACAATCAATGTGAAATCTCCTAAGACAATTAGTACAAAATCCCATAAGACAATCAGTACGAAATCTCCTAAGACAATCAGTACGATATCTCCTAAAACAATCAGTACTAAATCTTCTAAAACAATCAGTACAAAATCTTCTAAGACAATCAATGTGAAATCTCCTAAGACAATGAATGTGAAACTTCCTAAGACAATCATTGTGAAATCTCCTAAGAAAATCAATGTGGAATCTCCTAAGACAATCATTGTGGAATCTCCTAAGACAATCATTGTGGAATCTCCTAAGACAATCAATGTGGAATCTCCTAAGACAATCAATGTGAAATCTCCTAAGACAATCAATGTGAAATCTCCTAAGACAGTCATTGTGAAATCTACTAAGACAATCACTGTGAAATCTCCTAAGACAATCAATGTGAAATCTCCTAAGACAATCAATATGAAATCTCCTAAGACAATCAATGTGAAATCTCCTAAGACAATCAATTTGAAATCTCCTAAGACAATCAATGTGAAATCTCCTAAGACAATCAATGTGAAATCTCCTAAGACAATCAATGTGAAATCTCCTAAGACAATCATTGTGAAATCTCCTTAGACAATCAATGTGAAATCTCCTAAGACAATCATTGTGAAATCTCCTTAGACAATCAATGTGAAATCTCCTAAGACAATCAATGTCTCCTTTTTGAGCTTCCTCCATGATTTTCTCAAGGAGATCATAGAAATCTTCTTTATATCATCTGCTTTATCTTCAGTGGCTGCATACACATTAATCATCGTGATATTTTTCAATTTTCCTTTTATTCGTAACTTACTGATCCTATCACTAACATCTTCAAAATGCATAATGCTTTCCCACAACTTTTTCTTGATAATAAAACCTGTTCCTAGTTCATGTTTGTTTTGAGTGTTTCCTCTGTACACTATAATCAATCCATTTTCCTCTATGGTACTCTGCCCTGGCCATCTTATTTCTGGAATTACTGTTATATCCATTCTACATTTTGATAACTCACAGGTTAGTTCTTAAGCTGCTCCAGCTCTATAAAGGGTTCGTACATTCCATGTTCCAAATCTCAAAAGTCCTTTAACATTCCAAGTTCACTGTCCATTTAAATTCATCCGAAATCGAGGCTTAGATATCTGTTTTGTGACGAGATGAAGTTTTACGAAGGTAGGGGTGCCAGCCCCATGCTTCAACCCCCAACCTGGAAGACCAGGGTGTCTTTCTTTGTCTGTTCTCTATCCTTTGACCTGTCTGGTTTAGGAGGCCCTGCTGGTAGCTATGCTACAGCCGGTATAGATCACAGGTTCGTTGAGAAACACAAGCTTCCCCATCACATACTTATTTAATTTATGTAATTATTTACATAATTACTAAAGATTATTTTTAAATATTAGTTGAGTTGAGTTGAGTTAAGAATTGACATCACAGCACTCAGGGCATTCCCATACATGCTCCATCCCCATCCTCAGCAGCCAGCGCAGAGTTCCAATACCAGTGATGCCAGTAGTATTCAGGTTGTATGTCCGTCTTGCCTTTCCTCTGAGCGTAGTGTGCTGGCCGAACCCTCTGGTCACACCCAAGTGTATCATTCTCTCCAGCCCATAATAATCTACTTTCTCTTCTTTCTTTGTTACATGTTCCCAAAAGGCACATCTGCCTTATGTATCAATTCCCCAGCCAGCAGTGCAGATCCAGCCAGTCTGTCTGCCTGTTCATTCCCCACCACGCCGGCATAACCTGGAGAAAAGATCCAAAGTATGCTCACTACCCGTGACCTTGCAACTGACCTTGCAACTGAAGCTTGCCACTGCTCGAAGCAATCCTGTCTTTAATTTCATTTAATTTTTAATATTCATTATGTTAAAGGAAGCCGCCGTGGTTCGTCTGTGAGCCAAAAGGTCGTGGGTTCAAATCAACATCGAGGAGCATTTTTAAAACATGACCTTGTCTCCTAGATTGACCCAGCCTAAAATGGGTACCAGACAGAGGTTAAAACATCACCCTCCAAGGGTTGATAGGTCTAGTACTGTATGTCCAATATGCCTAACAGCATGAAAATGGGTCCTAAAAATTACGTTAAAGTCATGAAAGCAAATTTTTCAGATAGGTATGCAAAAAATTTCAAAGTTCAAAAGTCTACATATATAACTGTGTGGTTCACCTCGGCGCGAAAGGCGTGTATCCGGATCTGTGTCAACAAAAAGCCGCATATTGAACAGATCACGAATTTCAGGAAAGTAGAAAACAAGAATTCCTTCGAACAAGACAACATCAGCACAGTGAATTACTGTAGTTCCTTCTGAAGTTCTGAAATAGAATGAAGATAAACACTTTTAATTAATAAAAATCACATTGTTTGGCACGACTACCAACTAGATAGTGTTTTGTAACTTTTATGTTGGCCTTATAATAGTGGTCAACTTTCACAGACCACTCATCACGTAGCAAAAGAATACAACTTGTAAAAGATAATGCCTGAAAATACTGCAGATTTTCCTATTGCTAAGTTCATAAAATGTGTACCAGTGACATTTATACAGCATTCACAAACATAAACTGCATGTGGTATACAATATGGACATATTTTCACATTCTCAAACAATATAATCTATAAGTATTAAAAAAATTTTCTTAGTTTCATTTTTTAAAGGTATTTAGTATCATATCACCAGGCTTCTCTGAGTGATGTATAAAAGTGCTCAGTCTCTCAGCAGATAATACAAAATATTACGTTAGATTATTCAGTCCAAAGATTGGCACACATTCTCTGTTATTACATAAGCTTTTGAATAAAATATTTAGATGTGTATTCACCCACAACTTTTAAGGATGTTTTTTTATTGTCTACTTTGTCAAATGATTTTCTTGGTCAAAAGGCCAAACAGAATTGTTCATTAAATTTGACTGATTTCTTTTTAGGTATCAACTGCTTAAGCATAAAGATGGCATCTGTGTATCCCTTGATTTTCCTAAATCTTGGTTGTGTTTTGCTTAGCTGGAGTTCGACAATAAGCTGGTGACCTGTCTTTAAATGTTTTTAGAATATTTGTCCAGTATGACTCAAAATGGAAAAGCCCATGTAATTGTTTCTTTTACTGTTTCTGTCTATCTAAATTAGGATGATTGTGTTGTTTCCCCATTCTAGTGGTGTCCATGTTAAACATGTTTATGCAGCAACGCTATTTCTACCTATTTTTCTGTGTAATTAATTCATGTGGCACTTCAACTTTTCTTAGTGCCGTCCATCAAGGAGACTAACTTGTTAGCTGTTAGCTTCCCTCATGCATGTCATCGAAACCAAGGCACCACGCAGCCCATTGGATTAGTTGCCCTAAACTCTGTCTCCATAAAAATGCCACTTTTCCGCCAAAACAGTCTATTATAATGATTTGATTTGCTTCATAACAGTCTCTGCTTCCATTTTTCCATTGGAGGATATTGTGCTTCCTAGATAGTTCTATCTAGTCTTTTGCTTGCTTGTGTTGTTGGTTTTCTATGCAAATCTTGATTGGCTGTTCTGATACCGTTGCCCCAATTTTATGTAGTGTTAGATGGTATACTGAAGAGTTTTTGTTTTTTGTAGGAACTGTTTCTATATGTTGACTGGTTTGTCTTTATGTTGAGCATTTCAGTTGGACGGCAGGATTCCATGCTGATAATCACTGTTCTAATCTTCTGAAAATGTGAACAACAAATGTATTACCTTTTATGTGCTACATAATCATACGTTGGTAGTTCTACTCTCCTGCCTGCTTTAACATCCAGAAGAGTTTTATGCATAAGCTCCACATCAAAGGCATCTTGATTTAGAAAAAAGAATGTTTTGGGAGAGGTGATGAGAATGACAAAGAGGAATTTAATGTGTTTTTAAATAAATAATAATTTTAAAAAGCCATGACATTCAAAAATCCTAGTTGAACTCTGAACTTGTTAGACCTTTCTAGAGTTTGTATCAGTACGTGCCAATAAGAAGAAACTCCAGAGGGTAGCATGTACAGAAGTAGAAGTAATCTCTAGTCGACAAATGTTTCGGCCCATGAACTCCTAGACATTTTCAGAGAGTGGGCCCACCTGAGCTCATGAGGCTCAGGGTTGATTTTCTCCTGCTGCACGTATTACCGGATGTTATCGGACAGGGACAAGACAAATTGGTGACTTTGCAAAAGGTACTGTGAGATACGAACTCGTTGCGGTAGCATAATTAGAGCAGTCAGCTATAATTGATCAAACCAAGATGAATAACTCAAAGAATTATTAGGTTTAAAAGCCACAAGTTCCCTGCGGAAAATTACAATAACAAATTAAGTTAATGGAGACACAAGAGGAAAATACCTCATAAACTGCCAGCTTAGTTTAGGCAGATATTGTCAATTTTGCTCATATGTGGTAGGAGGAGTCTTGCATGAGGTTCCATAGCCGGGGATGAGGTACCAGCTGTCCCCTTTTACACAGCGCAGCTGCTTTTCTTTCCCTCATGTCTGTGATCTCAATCAAGGCACCACACAAACCCTTTACTGGGTGGCTCTAAACCCTTTCTCACCAAAATGCCGCTATTCCATTGGAACTGCCCAATACAAATCACTGTAAAGCTGTGAAACTGTCATAGCTGTAATGGTTAACCCCCTGAGAGGCCTAGTTAAAGGCATTGGTTGTTTGCACCTGCAGATATGATTTATATTAAGAATTGCATTGGGGAGGGGGGGGGGGTGTCATGCAAAAAATACAAGAAATTAGCTTTTACAAAAAGTGAACATGTCATAATTCACCCTTTAGTAGTCACATAGCGACTAGGTCACGGTATAAGTCATCATAAAATACAAAGTTTAGGCCCAAATGAAATGTATTCTGTTTATTTCTTTGCTCCGTTCATGTTTACTGATCACTTTCCTTGACATTTTCATTTTTTAAAAACTTAAAAATTTATTTGTGACCTGGGTAAACAGTTTATTTTTTAAAGGATATTTTTTCGGGGAAAAAAAAAGGGAGAGGGGAGGGGTTATCTATCCATCACTTGCATAGTCAACCTCTAGTTTTGCCTCTAGTGTTTTTAAGTAACAGGGCTCTCTGGGGTGCACTATCTGGCGGTAGTCTTCACACATGCCTGAACTATTTGATATGTTGTCTCTTGATGTAGTTTAGAACCAGTTCTGTCCCAATGTCTTTCCTGATAACATTATTTCTGATCCCTTCTGGTTACATTCAGGATTCATTGTAGACATGTTATTTTTTGCTGTTTCTATTTTTCTATTTTTCCTTTTGCGGTAGACAGGGTTACGAATTCCAGCATTAGAGAGACAGTTGGACTATGTCTGAATTATATTGACAGACAAAGAATTTAATGTTTTAGCCATCTAGTGATTATGCAGCCATACAAAAATACATATGAAACTTTTTACAGCAGGACATCTGGGAGGAAGGCCAAGAAAGAGATGGATAAATTGTGTAGCAGAAACCTGAAAAAAGATGAACAAATCCATCACCCAGGCTACCCGAGAAGCACATGACAAATATAGAAAACTACAACACTGGGCTACAACCTGGTCTCAGTGAGATGACAAAAGAAGAAGAAGAAGATTATATGTGTAGCAGTGACTCTTTTCCACACACAACAGTGATGTTACTTGATCTGAGAAATTACATTCGATTCAATGGTGTTTAGGAATGAAATGCATCCCACTTGTGGTGGCCTATAAAATAAACAAAGAATAGCAAGACCATAACCTATTAGGTGTGATGTAAAAAATGATTAAGGTGGGTTGGCATTAGGCTGACAAAGTAAAAATGTAGCAATGAATAGGATGCTTTGTAATGAGATAATGAACAAGCTTGATGGAAGGATAAAAGACAGAAGTATAGAACATACGATCTCATGAGAAATAAAACAACTTCGCCCTGATAATGTAATCTGAAGATATGATGACTAGGGTTAAAAATCAAGATGTTTTTACAAGTTAAGCCCTGTATATGAGCAAGTGTACTTTTCTGGCTGAAAACTAAAATTATACTTTTCACACCTGGATGATCAAAGTTGTATTCTCCTCTCGATGCCTTTTTGTGCTCTTCTGGTGTGAGGTCACGGTAAAAGCTATCCTGACTTATGATTGTCACTCTGCGATTATGTTCCAAGACAGACTGCTGCCCTAACTGTTCCATGATCTTACTGCAGACTGTGCTCTTGAGAAATAAGAATGTCAAGAGTAAGTGAAATGTTCAACACACTAGGATATGTTCAGACAAACAATTTAATGTCAATCTGTAATGTTGTAATGTGAAATACCTATCTTGAAAGTGTACAACTAATGCTACAGGAAATAGGATATCGTGAAAAGATATCAATTCACTTAAAAAGCATAACTAATCAGTTTCACATTATTACAAACACAAATGACAAGTGAATGCTCCGGCTAGAAAACCTTTATCACCACATTACATAAATATACAATGTCCCAAATACAAACAAGAATACACAAAAATCACTTAAATATCTCTGACAGAAATCCATATGTCTGTCTTGCCAGTTAAATATATGACACGTACCTAAACACAGGAAATGAATACTAGACAGAAAAAACAAAACTGTCAAAAGCAAGCTCCGTAACTCAAAAAATTAGATAAAACTCATTAGATAGAAAAGGCAGACCTGGAGAAGCTCAGGACTGTCACTGAAGTGTCTAGACTTGATGGCTGTAACTCAGGACTGTCACCAAAGTGTCTAGATTTGATGGCTGTAACTCAGGACTGTCACCGAAGTGTCTAGACTTGATGGCTGTAACTCAGGACTGTCACCAAAGTGTCTAGACTTGATGGCTGTAATTCAGGACTGTCACTGAAGTGTCTAGACTTGATAGCTGTAACTTCCATGTGGAAAACCCCTTGGTGATCCTGAAAACTAAAGCGCACAGCACTGGTTCAGGGCACCATTCTGCAACAGAGAGATGCTGCCTACACCTGTTCGCTAGTTGCTTCCTCCCTTACTGATGTATTTCATACCACAAATTTTGCAGATGATGGTATAGGTTACATTACGGCTCATGCTATAGAATGCCTCACATATGTGGAAAGTGGCGTTAGGGAATCCACACGAACTACATACAGACAAGTCCTGCATATATGTCTATGACAAGAGACTGTGTCTAAGTGGGGCTGAGAGTTGGCACATAACTGACTCTTGACCAAAACGTTCTTGAGGTTATAATAGTAATGTCTGTAAGCCACAACAGGAAGTCCAGAGAAAATTTTACTTGTGACAGGGTCAGCCCATGGGATGAAAAGGTTCCTTCATGAGAATGTTTTTTAGTGCAGATGTTGTATGAGTGATAGGTGAAAGGATAGGTCTGTTGTGGTGATGTTTAGGTTGGATGTGAGGGCCTGATATATCAAGGTCTCTGACAGACGGTGAGCGGGGAAAGGCAGCAGATAAGATATGTTCAGGGCATTTCCAGGGCCAAATGATGGAATTCGTTGTTCTCCTGCCACAATCTACGCAGCCATAGAAGCTGTCAGAAAGGAATTTAGTCTTTGCAGAAAGAAAAATGGGAGGATGCACACAGGTGAAAAGAATGGGAATCAGTAGGTTTGTATTATACTGAGGTAATAGGGTCTTTAGGATTCTAACAGTTTCTGGTACAGACAACATAATTACACAGTATAAAAAAAAATAATATGTTTACCCAAACGTAAATCTTTCACATCAAGCATTAACAAACAAACACAAAAAAAAGCACTAGAAAGTGTAAAACAATTCAATATATAAATCCAACTTTTCCTGAAACATACTGGACACAAGTCTGAATTGAAAACAGCCATATTAATGCCACTCAAAATTATAGTATCAGAGTTTATACAATATAAAAAACAAGTTATTCTTAATCAATCACTACTGTTGTAAAAACTTAGCAGTTAAGCAGAAGCTTTAAAACAAGCAACATAAATTCTTATTCATTAAAACAAAAAGAAGTACAATCTAAGAGTCAAATTCATGACTGTTACTGACATGCTACAAATAATAACCCTTCACGATTAAAATTATATTATTCTCCCTCTTGAAAATTAAACAAAGTTGAAAAATGCACAGTTCAAATATCCACCCATATGAGATTCTGTTTAAAAAAGAAACAAACTGGCAAAGCTGGCTGAGAAAGTGAATAAATGAGAAACACGAGCAAGCACAAAACTCTATACATTTTCCCTACAGAAAAAAAAAAAAACAATACTGTCCACATGTTGGCCACTACTTAAACACATCTGACATAAGCACAAATTACACAAGTGATATCTCCATCCATGAGTTCATTCAATATTTAGGGGATGGTAACGATCTTCTCATAGAGTTTACGTGTTTATTAGCCCCGGCTGTTTGAAAGTTGACTGGAGTAAACCCTTTTCCATTGCTGGGGATGAACATTACATACTTGGGGATGCAGGCTTGACAATACATTTGAACTGCTCGTAGCTAGAACCATGGTGGCCACATGCTCGTGTGGCAGTCCTATGTCAACAAACGGTAATACACTGGCACTCCCAAAAGATGTTATATTTTACATATGATGGGCAAATGGAAGTTAATATTACTTTACTGAAAACTGTTTGATAACTACCTTAGTGATCATTGTATGAAAGGAGGACATGATTTTATGTGGAAATCTCACTACCTGAGACACAATAACTAACTTAGTGATCATTGTATGAAAGGAGGACATGATTTTATGTGGAAATCTCACTACCTGAGACACAATAACTAACTTAGTGATCATTGTATGAAAGGAGGACATGATTTTATGTGGAGATGTCACTACTTGAGACACAATAACTAACTTAGTGATCATTGTATGAAAGGAGGACATGATTTTATGTGGAGATGTCACTACCTGAGACACAATAACTAACTTAGTGATCATTGTATGAAAGGAGGACATGATTTTATGTGGAAATCTCACTACTGGAGACACAATAACTAACTTAGTGATCATTGTATGAAAGGAGGACATGATTTTATGTGGAGATGTCACTACCTGAGACACAATAACTAACTTAGTGATCATTGTATGAAAGGAGGACATGATTTTATGTGGAAATCTCACTACCTGAGACACAATAACTAACTTAGTGATCATTGTATGAAAGGAGGACATGATTTTATGTGGAAATCTCACTACTGGAGACACAATAACTAACTTAGTGATCATTGTATGAAAGGAGGACATGATTTTATGTGGAGATGTCACTACATGAGACACAATAACTAACTTAGTGATCATTGTATGAAAGGAGGACATGATTTTATGTGGAAATCTCACTACCTGAGACACTATAACTAACTTAGTGATCATTGTATGAAAGGAGGACATGATTTTATGTGGAAATCTCACTACTGGAGACACAATAACTAACTTAGACTTTGTTAGCCTCATTACACTGAGCTTGTTACATCAGACTCTTATTTGTTTGTGGAAGCATGAATTACCAAGATATGCAGTTATTATTCTATCCCTTCTGACACTTGACCTTTTATCTTATATTGAATATTTTACTTGACAACACTACAAAATTAGCCTGTGGAGGCATTTATTTTAAAAAAAATCACACTTCTCCAATTTTCAGAAATATTACTTTCAATTATGGTTCTAGAATCAGGGTTTTAATTAAAAACCTTACCATAAAGGTGGTCATGAAATAATTTACTTGGTAGATTAGAAATACTGCACAATGTGCAGCAGCAGTTTTCCTTAATGTGGATAAACACGCACATTCCAAAATGTTTATACAAACACTACAGTTAACTCTTTGAGTCCCAGAGGGTTTGGCATCACAGGCTCAAAGGGTAGTAAAGAGAAACATAAAGTTGTGCCTCATGTGTTAACTGGGCTTCTAGGTAGGAACCTATGAACAAATGATGCTTTTATTGGGAGTTTAAACTATCAACACACATGCCATTATCTTACCTTCCCTGAAGCAGTGCCACCAGCTACTCCAATCAGAAATGGTCGCTGAATTTTATCTAGTGCATTTAGATGAGGATTTTCCATAACGGCACGCACCAGTGAACAGTCTGTAGTGTAATCTTCTGAATCAATCTGAGTGCATCAAGTGCACTTTTTCTGCATGCTACTAATAAGAAAAAATACAGCTTCAATAAATGCTATAATGTGAAAACAAGATTCCTTCATCTCTTTCAAAGACTATATGTGTATTTATTCAGCAGAATCAGTAGAAGATTATGGCAACGATGAACATGGAACAAAGAATGCTGTTCACAATGTTCCAGCATGTGATCCTGTCGGTTATAGATTATAGTCTTGGAATGTTTACTGTATCAAAGTCAGCTAATGAAACTTGTACGCATACAGGATGAAGCCACGCGGGTAATTTTGGGATGTACAAGAGATACCCCAGTAGTATGTATGAGATATATACTTGCACTGCCTACTATTGTTGTTAGGCTCGAATTTCTGCAAGCAGTCATGTCTCAGACTAGCTGCAGATAAAAAGCACCTCTTGCATGAAGCCCTGGGTAGATCCAAAAGTCACATACTGAAAAGAAGAAGCTCTTGGATGGCACAAGCTGAAGACAAAATCAGACGTATGCAGGCTTGATAAATTTGTGCGAGGTGAGGAGTCGGTCAAAGTGTCCAAGCTAGTTTCAGACTTGTGCAGTGTTCTTTTCACTTTGGGTCGTGAGTGCAGGGACTCGCCAGCTGGCGCTGCAGAATAAGAAGTTCAAGAAATGATTTTAAGACAATTCCCACCCAGATGATGTGATTATCTATACAGATGACTCTGTGTTAAGGGGCAGACAAAGACCATGGGGGTTTATAGCAAAAGCAAATGGACGTGGCTTAGTGCAACAAAACCTGGCATATGATATCAGAATGAGAATGGAGGTGAAGGCAGTCACTGCTGCCTTCCGCTGGTTCGAGAATCAGCTGTACACACATGCTGTGATTGTTAATGACTCGCAGAGCATGTTGAGAAAAGTGGAGACAGGCTGCTCCGTGCAGAGTGGCAACCATCACTTCAGAGCTACCAGGTAGTTAGCATCCTTTTGATATTTTCTTCAGGTGATGCCAGTGCGTTGGGATATGAGCAGGCAGATAAAATGGCCGGTTCTGATGTATGACGAGCTGTGTGTTGTGAGGGCTCTTTGGGAGCAATTGAACAGGCATGCTCAGTGCAGAGTGGCAACCATCATTTCGGAGGTCTAGGGTAGTTAGCATCCTTTGGATATTCTCTCCAGGATCTCAAGCTGATAAGAAACTGTCCGCAGAGAACTGAATAAATTTTGAAGCTAGAAATAGGATTAATAACAATGAAATAATGACCAATAGCTGCTAGAATAAGATTTACTAAGGATAATTAAAAACACTGAAATTATTGAAAATTATGGTAAGTAAAGCAAAACAACAAGCTATTTTAAATTTTTGCTATCCCAGTAAAAATATGCTATCAGTGCCAAACATGGATACTTACATCCTCTAATGGATGTAAAATTGTGACAACAGAGATGAAATTCCTTAGAAGAGCTGCATGAGTTTCAAGGGAAGACAGAATACACAATCATGAAATCAGACGATTGCTCGGAATAAAGCCAGTCTTACAGGTCATCAAAGAAAAACAGATAAAGTAGTTAGGACACCTAACAAGAATTCCTTGGTACTATCTGCCTCAGCGAGCCACACTTAAACATTACAACGGGTATAGAGCGAGTGGAAGACCTTGGAAAATATGGAGTGATAGCAGGCAGGCAATACTAGGGTGACCAGTCATTTCCCGCAGTACTCTATTTTTTCGCATATGGATTTTAAAAATATACATAGAAATCGTCGCTGGAGCTACGGAGCACGTGCTCTGCGCTTGACACATTTTTCAGCACTTCGTAAAGAGAGAGATGACGAGGGAATAGGAAGAGAAGAAGGCATAGGAATAGGAGGGCAGGTGCTAGGAGAACAATAAGAAAAGCGGAGAGATTGAGCTTTAATCATGTAAGAGTAGGATACTGGAACTGTCGGAGTGCTAGGCAGACAGGTCCTGTACTGGAGAGGTTGATTTTTGATTTGATGTCATCATGCTCCAGGAGCTAAATACAGACATATATCATTGCACTGGGTACGTCAGTTATATAAACCCTGTTGGACAGGAGAGACATGGACAAGGTCTGGTGGTGAAGGAGGGAGTGAAGCATGTGGTGCTTGACTTGAGCCAGTGGAACCACAGTGGACGAGAGGTTTAAGGGATACAGGTGGAGATTGGTGGCTTAAGTTGGAACCTCATAAATATATATGCCACAGTAGACTGTTTTGTCAGAAGTGAGCAATGGGGCTGGCTCAAGGAATTGGAGGAGTTACCAGGTGATAGTTTACTCATATGTGGGGATTTAAATGCGAGGAACAGAGAATGGGACAGCAGTGGAGAAAACCGACAGGGAATTGCTCTTGCAGAGGCCATGGTTGACTCCGATATGGTCTGCATCAATGATGGGAGGCCGACTAGAATGGCAATGAGGTCTGGAGACGCAGACACGGGCATTGACTTGACATTTGTCTCTCAGTCGTCGGTTTTAAATGTTAAATGGACTGTCCTGAATGACCATGGGAGTGATCACCTACCATGTTCAGTCTTGATTTCTAAACCCAGTAAGGTTAAGGTTGGGAGAGCACGCAAGACCTTCCGGTATAAGTGGACCAACAACCTACTTGGACGCCTCAGACAAGGAGAATGCAACAGAACTGCCAGAACTAATTTTCTACAGCCCCCATGGTGGACTCCAGAAGCAGAACAGGCGTGGAAGGCACAGAAAGCAGCAGTGAAGCAGCTAAAGAAAGTACGACGGACACCCTCAAGCTCACAAGAGGAAGTGGAGATGGCGGAGAATGTGAAAAAAGATAAGGTGGAGGCTTTCAAGCGCTGTGCTGCAGAGGCCAAAAGAGCAATGTGGAAAACTTTTGTGAATGATATGGGAGGCGATAAAACATTAGGCAAATTCTGGAAACTGCAAAGGCAGATGCAAAGAAAAGATCAGCCTATGACAGTCAGAACCATTTGTAGAGACAATGGTGTGCGTATGACAACAGACAAGGAGAAAAGGGAGGCTTTTCTCCATAGGTTTATAGCTCAGACAGATCTTAATGATGTAGACATCAGGGATGCAGTTAGAAAGGAGTTAGCTTGCACCTTGAAGAATATGCATTATGAAGACATGATACAAGTGGAAGATATCAAACAAATTTTGAAAAAAATTAAAGACACTGCACCAGGGCCTGATGAGTCAGGTATGGTCACATGAAGGCTTTGAGCGATGTAGACCTGGCAGCGATGGCTGACTGTTTTAACCAGAACATTAAGACAGCATCAGTACCGCAGGACTGGGTGCACAGCTATCTAATCCCACTACTAAAACCTTTTAAAGATCATTCTAAGCTCAGTGGCTTTAGAAACATCACCTTACAAAACACATTTGGGAAGGTCTTGGAGAAGATAGTTGCTGTAAAGCTGCAAGAATGTTTGGAAAGGGGGAAGCTTCTCACAAGAGGTCTGGAAAGCTTCAAGCCAGAAAAGGACACATGGGCAAATGCGGCCACTTTTGCCTTTGACATCTATGAAGGGTTCCAGAACAGACAGGAAACTATGGCGGTAGACCTGGATCTCGAGGATGCTTATAACAGAGTGAGATTCGACATCTTAATGACTGCACTGAGGGAGAAGGAGGTCAATCCAGTGCTGGTAAATTGGGTTGCAGCTGTCCTGTATTCACGTCGGGTTGCTCTCCGACTGGGCTCATGGACCTCAGAACCATGCAGTTTGGCCCCAGGACTGCCACAGGGATCCACCATCTCATCTGTGCTCTTTGACATGTATACGAGCAAGATTGCAAGCCTAGAAGCACCAGGAGTTGAAAGGATACTGTTTTTTGCAGATGATATACTTGCATATAGGCAAGGGGAAGAGAGGGAACTTACAGCCCGGGAGCTACAAGCGACAGTAGACAAAGTGACTGAGTGGTGTACAGAAATGAGGGCTGTCGTCCACCCGGAAAAGGCGTCTGTTTTGCGGTGTTCTCTGGACAACAGAACCGTTATAGCTAATGTCCCAAGTCTTATGATAGATGGTAGAAATGTCAACAGAGAGGGCAAACTGAAGTACCTGGAAATTACATTTGACAGGAGCCTGTCCTTTAAGGACCATGTAGAGAGTGTTGTGACGAGACGTTAAAAAGGACTTGGTACACTTAAGACTATGGCTGCAATAGACATAGAGCAGAGAATGTATTTCACACTATATTAGCACCTGATCCTGTCAGTGGTTGATTATGGCCTGGGACTGCTTACAGTCTCAACGAATCAGATGGACAAACTAGAGCACATACAGAACGCGGCTATGCAGGTCATTCTGGGTTGCACCAGAGACACCCCAGTGGCATGTATGTGATACATCCTTGGTTTGTCGACGGTTGCAGGTAGGTACTAGGTGCTGCAGGTGAAGTCATATCTCAAGGTAGCTGCAGACACAGACCACCCTTTGCATAAAGCTCTGGGTACAGTCAAGGGTCAGCGGCTGATAAGAGGGAGGTCATGGATGGCTCAGACAGAAGACATAACAGACAGGTTTGCATCCTTGAGAACATTAGGTGAGGACAGGAGTGGGTCAAAGCGCCACCTGAACAGTCAGACTTGTGTAGAGTGAAAATCACGCTGAGCCGGGAATGCAGAGACTGGCCAACAGGTGCCACGGAGGTGGAAATTCAGGAATTAATTAAAGATAATGCTCGCTCAGAGCGTTTGATCATTTACTCAGACGGTTCAGTGTCAAGAGGCAAAAGAAGTGCTTGGGGTTTCTTATCAAAAGTTAATGGTCGACATGTGGTGCAGGAGAGCCTAGCATATGATACCACAACATCCAGCTTAAGAATGGAGGTGGTCACTGCAGCTTTCCGCTGGCTAGAGAACACGACACACACACACACATTGTGATTGTAACTGACTCAGAAAGCATGCTGAGGAAGATCAGGACAGGCATGCTTCGTGTAGAGTAG